TTGGTGTAGAGATTCAGAACTAGGTAGGGAAAAAGGAAGAGGGAGGCCAAAGATAATACAGAGATGGCATATGAGCAGGCACACATTGTCATCTGCTGCCTGGCCACATGTGCCATAGAGCTCAGGTTGGAGAGCAGCCCTGACCCAGGCAGTTAGGAGTGGCCTGCAGCTGCTCCGAGGTCTACTGGCACAAAATTTATCCTACTTCTCTCAGACATGGCTGCTTAGATAATGCCTACCTCTGAGAGGCTTTCCTTAGATTTTGGTAACCCCACACTATCTCCAGCTTCCCACTTTTATACCTACGAAGGTTCCAAGTACACTTAAAGAGTTCCAATGTTATTTTAAGGGCGCCCGTGTGTCTTCTCCCTTTAAGTCAGTTATTCTGACTTCCAGCATCTGCTTTGGCAGAGCCTAAACACTCAGCTGCCTGGAAATCTTGAACTTGTAGCTTAATGAAATCTCCAGAAAACTGACCTCCAATCTCAGAGCAGTTTGATTTACAAGTGCCTTCCCTTGAGGTGGTCAAAGCATTTTAAATAAATGGCTGTGTGCTGGTTTGGGCTAATCATTGGATAATTTACGTGTTTATATCATGCCATATTAAACAAGGACCACATAGTGTGCATATCTGGGCCTAGGCCTGACTCATTGAACATTTTAGGGAAACTGAGGCCAAACACAACAGCCCCATTTAGACTTTTCACACTAGAGTAATTGTTTTCTATTTACAAAAAATGACAAGCTAAGTGTGAGAATTTCCCTTTTCCCTGGGCTTGCCTATTTACTATTGATGGGCAGGGTGAAAGGATGAAAGAAGGCTGGTAATTAGATTAAAGAGTGGTTTCTGGTGTGATCGAAGAAAAGAACCAGGGAGACAATATAAAAATAAGGTTAAAAGGTCTAAGAATGTTAAGATACCTTTGAAGAGACCCTTCTTAGCTTGTACTCACAGTAGGTACAAGATTAGATATAATTTAAAGTTTTAAGTAGGTTTAGCATCTGATATTTGTCAGGTATTTCTTCCACTCAAGTACTAACCAGGCCCCCTTCTGCTTAGCATCTGAGATTGGACAAGATAGCATTCAAGGTGGTGTGGCCATAGACTGTGAAATATTTCTGTGACTTACTAAACTTATAGCCTGTTCAGTTTTCATAGTAAAGCCCTGAGGTAGAAAGTCTTACTTCTTTCTCATTGCCCAGATGGAGAAGCTGAGATAAAAGATGTGCTAAGCTTACATGTAGCAGTGATGGGGCACTGTTCCAGTTTCAGACCAGTGCATGTGTTGCTGCTCCCTGGAAACGTACTGTTTGATTTGATTTGACTCTTCACTGTTACACCACCCTTTTCTTATTTACAGATACTCTAGGGGACTTTAGGGTTAGCAGAGACATCTTTTTCAGGACCTTCTGTCTTAGATGTTAGCTTGTACCAAGTCAAGTAAGCCCTTCATGCTTAGCTCTAGCTTATTTGTTTAACAGCTTCTCTGTTCTGTCCATAGCTCTGTGCATTCCTTGGATCCTGCCTGGTTCCCTTTGCTTACCTCATTGTATTGGATCTGTCCAAGTCCCTTCCAGCAGCACTGGTGACTGCCGCCCTTCTCACCTTTGGTAAGTTGTCCTTATTCCATGCATTTTGGGAAATAGGCCGCTTCACTGTGGGGATAGTTGGAAATCAGCATGTTAAATCATCCAGTCTATGGCTCTAGTTCTTCATTAACGTAAGGATCAAGTAACATGTATTGCCAATCTCATCTTATTTTCATACTTAACACTTTATATTGTTAGCGTTGGCATGGGTAATCCCAAGGGATATACCACCTCCAAGTTTTCCACATTTTTAAGTTTGCGTTTGATAATAAAATTGTGTGTGTGTGTGTGTGTGAGTGTGTGTGTGTTTAAAGGAAGCTTATTGTTTTTGTTTCTCTGAGATTAATACTAGGATTAGTTTATGTTCCCCAAACTAATTGCAACTGATATAAGGGCAACACTGCAAAAGTAGCTGTGTGGCAGGAGGTAGCAATGGGAACTTAAATATTTTTTGTGGATCCTCATATGGACAAGTGAGAGTTGATTGTAGAAGCTGATCCTCTCGCTAGCCCTGTTTTAGTGAAAGTGAATTCTTGGTCTCTTGGAGCTTAACATTTAAAGAATCCAGGACCCAGGGGAAAGCTCAGTGGCTTAAGTGCCTGCCTAGCAAGCGCAAAGTCCTGAGTTTGATCCCTGGTACTGAAGAAGAAAACAAACTTAAGAAGTCCAGACCAGGGGGTAGGGAGATGGCTCAGTGGAATGGGTGCTTCCCTGACAAGCACAAGGGCCTGAGTTCAATCCCTGGTTCTGCCAAAAAAAAAAAAAAAAAATGTCCAGACCAGATTAGGAGAACATTTTAGAGATTGATTTAGACAGATATATTGCTTTATTGTGATGGGTTTATTACAAGATTATAGATAGGCTCTCCCTAGAGAGTACTAGTGACTTTTTCCTTGTATCTTTAATTTTTCTCCCTAGTTATTCATTTGTTTAGTCATTTTCTTCTTCTTTTTTTGTTTTGTTTTGTTTTGTTTTGTTTTTTGGCAGAACTGGGGATTGAACTCAGACCCTTGCACTTGCCAGGGAAGTGCTTATTCTACTGAGCCGTCTCCCCGGCCCCCATTTGCTTCTTTTTTACTCAATACTTATTTCTCAAGCACCTAGCCTATGCTAGGCCCCTTTTATTAGGCTCAGAGGATGCACTCTTGAGTCCCTGTTCTAATGGAGAGGGGCAGACAAGTAAGCTAGCACATTAGTAAGTCTGCAGTATAAGATCTTAAACAGTAAGCACAAGGTAGAAATAGTTGGGTAAGAGTGGAGTAGTGGGGATCAGTACTACTTTTTGGTGGGCATTGAAGAACTCCCTGAGAAGGTAGCTTTTTTTTTTAAACTTTTAGGAAGGTTCTATATTTTCTTCAGTGTCTAATTTAGGCAAAAATGGATCAATCTTTAATAGTAAACCTTCACTTGTTGAACTACGAAGGAAAGCACAGACCACAAAGGGACCCAGATTTAGTGGTCTGTGCCTGCAGACTTCATCAATAACTGTCTGCAGATTGGCTGCTATTTGGTCACATGACATAGCCAACATTGCTATTTTGGTTGTAAGAAAGTTCTCCTTTCCTTCATCTACCTTAATTTCATGTCCATTTTTAAATAATGCAAGCATTTTGGGAATGTCACAGCCAATGGAATTTCTACTGAGCTTTGGAAGTCTGTTTTCAGTTTCTTCTTTAATGGATTTTATGTAGCTGTACCAGACATTATTTCTGGTACAGCTACATAAAAATCTGCATAAATTTCATCATGTAAAATCTTCTGGATCAGATTAGCTCCTCCTGCAAAAGCAGTTCCTCGTCCTTCTGACAGTTCAATATCTGATGGATTCCCTGTTAATACGGCAACTTTATTGGATTCCAAAGAAAACGGATATGGAAAACTAATAGCACTGGCAAATGGTTCCACTCTTCTTTTTCCCCAGTGCCATATCCAATGTCAAATCAAGAAAAACTCCTTGTTTTGGATAGTATAGTCCAAAATTTGATACTTCTTAAGTAAGTGAACAGCTTTCTCCACCTCATATGTGGGCCGTGGGTATAAGTGGTTTAAATAGACATCATCCTCAGGTTCACCTTCCATGTATGGGTATGACTTTTTTTTTTCTATTTCATCTCTCTTTTCCCCTGGTGTTTTTTCTTTGGCAACTTTGTTGGCTTTCTTTGCATGCTTTGTAGCAGAAGCAGCAGAGTATCTGGTCAGCACCTGAATGTTTACAAACAAGGATAAAGATAAATCATCTTGGAAAGGCTATGCCTTCGATTATGTGTCAAGACCCTGCTGAGGCACCTGACGGCCGCTGCCATGTTAACCATCTCGGATTGTGTCAGAAGATAGCTTTGACCAGACACCTGAGCCAAACAAAGGATTAAGCCATGCAGGGTTCTGAGGAAAAGCATTCAGCAGAGGGAACAGTATGAGCAGTAGTTCTGGTGTAGGCTTAGTGGAGTCAAGGAGGAGCGAGAAGGCTGTTATGTAGGGCAAGGGTGGAGTGAGTGAGACAGAGAATGTTGGGAGATGATGTTGGCCAGGGTAGGGAGCCCACATAGGCTTTGGCAGCTGTCATGAAAACTTAATCTGAATGAGATGAGAAGACTTTGGAGAATTTAAGAGGGAAATAAGCTTTAAGATTGAAAAACTCACTGTGGTACCTGCATGGGAAATCAACCCCAACAGAGACAACATGTAAAATGCGCACTCTAGCATAAGTATGTGTCATGTGGCTACATAAGGAGGGTACAGAGGAGGAAGAGGTGTGAGGGCTGCACTGAGTGAATGACATGATCCTCCTTTTTTTTTTTTTAAACTGGAGATTGAACTCAGTACCTTGTACTTGCCAGGCAGGTACCCAAGCCATGAGGTATCTCTCCAGCATGAACCTCCTTTGGATTGAGAGTGTAGAAGAGTGTCAGACACAGTTTGTCTCCCTGCCCTTAGTGCTTACATGCAGTCCTAACCTACTGATAAGTGGTCTGTACCAGCTCAGAGGATCCTTCCAGGTCCTGGTCAGTTCTAAAGCTTATCTGGAGAGTGTGGTCTGCTTCCAGAATAGTATTTTTTGGATTATTCCTCTACCTCTGAGATAATAGAGCAGTAGACTCAAAAGAACTCCCCCTGCCCCCACTCTTCTAGAAGTCAGCTGATCATGAGTGTCTGGTGTATCCTGGAGCTGTGGCCTTCTACCCTGGGATGATCTGGTGTTAACTCAGGGACCCCTTTGGGTGTTCATTCCCAATTAACACGAGGAACTCTTTTGTACTACTGGGCTATTTGGTTTTCAGGGACTGTTACTTTTCACTGTGCATTTTGACTAGTGAACTCATGTTTTTCAGACACAGGCTGCCTCACTCTGTCGCAGTACATCCTTCTCGACCCCATCCTGATGTTCTTCATCTTGGCTGCCATGCTGAGCATGGTCAAGTACAACTCTTGCGCCAACAGGTCAGAAACCCTATCTTTAGGAGGAAGTGTCAGAAACTGTGGCTGCCCTTTGAAGTTCCACCATGGCGAGGGCTGGGGTGGATGCCTAGGGGATCTGTTTAGAAGCTGACTTTTTT